GTAGGGAGGGGGAAGATATGGTAATTTGCTTACCAGAATATTGGCACCAATGCAGTCCAACAAGCATATAGAGGAGCTTCAGGATATTGAAATGGATATGATCGATTGATACTCCGGAATATCCTCTGTCCACCAGCATTTTATAGAAGCAATTCAGGACTGACATAATATTTTACAACAAGACACTTTACTGTTCAACAATTAAACCACATCAACATCCAGACAAGCATGGAATGTAATAACCACAAGGACAATGAATGATAATTTAAAATTAAAAAATGTTCAATGTTACTTAAATGTTGGACAATCTCACTCATATGTAAGAATGATCATGCTCACGCTTCGCAATGATAAGGACCTCATGAATTTAACTCATAAACTTAAACAAATAATCATGCAAGAATCACCTCACAGCAGAGAAATTCAGAAAAAGAGGCAATTATGAGATCAAGTTGCTTTTTAAATGGAACAAATTCAAAACAGGCATTCCCAATGAAAGCCATTACTGATCATAGTATTGATTGTCCTTTTACCAATGTGAATCTGTATTGAGAAATACATATGAGGAACAGAGGATAGGAGACTAGAGACAGTCTCCATGGAGAATTGAAAGGGAAAGCATTACTTAATAAGAAAGTCAAAAAAATTGTAAGCAATATATAATACTCACGGTAATTGATATCTCCCGGGTCCCGGATTGATTGCTCACGAACAACGTTCCAAACCCTGCCTTGGCCATGTGCAAGCAAGATGCTTTATATACATTGTTAATAAGCAGTTCATTTTATTAGATTTAAAAGTAGAGGAAGATTGAAGTTAACAAAGAAGAAAAATATCACAAAGAATGAGCATGTTTAATAAGTTATAAGTTTTATGTCAAGAGATAAGGGAAGATTGAACGAAAGTTTTTGGTTTTTATCAGTTCGAAATATGCGTGCATAGAATTAATAATAATATAATAATAATAATAATAATAATAATATAGTAATTAAATTAGGAAACACATTGCAAAGGACTTACAGAAAATAGGAAGGAACTCACCAGCAGAAGCAGAGTTCGATAGTTAAGCCAGAATCACTATTTAAATTGGATTCTCACTTTGAGAATGGAACTCATTATTTGATCGACAACACCTTCAACTGCAAATCATGGTTGTTAAGAAACCAGAGCCCAAATACTTAAATTTTTGTATGTAACTCAAAAGTTCATACTTCTTGAGATCAATTTCTGTTTGTAATATTTTTCCAACCAAAAGAAAGTGAAGCTGTTTTTAATGACATCTAGCATTAGAAAATTATTGACCCTATTTTATCGAAGTAGACCATACCCTCTATTTGTTTATATATTTTCAACCATAATCTTCCTAAAAATGCAAGCATATGGATATGAAATGAAAAAAGATAGAGATGTAATGTGAAAAGGCTATAGCTTAAAGGGTTTAAATGGCATCAACTTTATGTGAATTAAGGCCAGGAATTAAGGGTTAAACTGAAACTTAAACCATCAGAGCACAATTAGGCAGTCCAAAGAAGTGTTCTCACATCTTTAGCCTTGAAAAATATGTCTGAAAATATTACATATTAAAATTAAACAAGAAATAAATAAAACTTGACTATATTGAGGGAAAAAAGTCATGCTACCAAGTATAACCTTGCTATAGGCAAACTAGGAGGATTCCCAAAAGACTCAGGAAAGCTGTTTGGAGGATGAGGACTACATACCACGGCGGGTTGGAGAAAACCTTTTTTAAAAAAATGCAAAACCTTGAGTTGCATATTAACAATTACCAAAGCAAGACATTGAAATCAGAAAAATGAAACAAAAAGTTACAGAATGACGATGGAGACTTCACCTTTCCATGAATAACGGGACCATTGGAAGCAAACAGATTGGTAGAGCTCAGAGGACAAATTGCATTGTGAGTAACACAGGATCGCCTTCTCAAACCCAGTGAACAAAAATAGTCAAAAGAAATTGATCTCAAGGAAGTTGTGAGGAAAAGAGAGTGTCAAATAAATTGTTAATCAATAGCATAGTGATGAATTGGGAATAAAGAAAGACTTTGAGAGAAGATCGTAAGGTGAGACTTCTAATGTGTTGTTGTCCATCGGCTAAGTAGAATTTTGAAAAATTTATCAGAAAGAAATTTTTAGAGGGGAGTTTTTGAAGATGAGATATGGTCATTGGTAGCATGTGGTTGGGGATGGTGAAGAGGAGAGTGAATCGATTGGTTCTGGGTGGGTTCCCCAGAACGGTTTTGTCGTATATTGGACAGTTTAGCACGTTTTCTGTGAGAAGTTCATTCTTCATTGTGAAGGAGAGTTTGCAATGTTGAACTTGAAAATGCGGCTGAATAAAACAGTTGAGGACGATATGCCGTTTTATAGAAAAATATTTAAACGACAGTCCAATGTTGCTAAATCTGTCTGTTTTGCCATTTAGTGTCTTTCACATTTCAAAAAACCTTTTGGAAACAACCAACTACCGGCCGCCCACAAACGGCATAAAACTTGCTGTCGTAAACCAGACAGCCAATTTTAACTGGAATCATTTCTCCACTGCGGATGTAGCGCACAATCAACTTTCTAGCATACAAACGACTTCATATTGATCTCTGCCCCACCAAATTCACACACCAATTCCACCCTACCGAACGTTCATAAGCGCCCAAGATCAAATGGGTTCGTGTGCATATCTAGACGCAGCAGTCTCTGAAGAAAAAAGCCTTAACAAGGCCATTTCTATCAAGAATCAATCCTTCTTTTCTCCCTCCAAATCTCTCCCCCTTTCATCTCTCTCTTCTTCTAAACCCATTCAATTTCCCAACGACAGCTCTCAAATTTTTGCAGAAGTATCATCACTGTTTTATTTTCAATTCCAGCCTCTCCCTTTCTCTCCCTGTCCATGTCAAGCTCGCTCCTTTTGCTCTCTCAATCCACCAAAGAAGAACAGTTATTCATAATTCTTTGTACATATAGAGATGATGCTTGTTAAAAGGTTAGCTTAAAGCTTTTAATGGCCTTACTAGAATAACTAGATTGCTTTTGTCATGTCATTCGACAGATTTAGTTGATTTGGGTTTGCTTATAACAATTACTTTCCCTTTTATCTGGATTATCCCGAGTATTTCATTGTTTTGTGAAGTTCCAAAAGATTGTTTTAGGATAAAAAATTGCATTCACCTAAGTGGATTTCCTTGGAGGGATGAGTTATCTGTCGTCTGAAATGGAGAAGAAGAGTAGCACCATTGGGGATATGAAAAATATCAAGAAAGGTGAGCGCATTGGGTTTCTTGAGTTATCCTAACGGGTTTTGATTTTGAAGAATAAAGTGAAAGATTGGGTTTTGATTGGCCAAAGTTGCCACTATATGTCACCTTATGAAACATGCCTTCATTTAAACCCAAACGGGATCAGCAGGTAGAAAAGGGGATCAAGCAGAGAAGTGGGTTGTTGCTGTGTTACATGAGTTGTTGTGGTTGCTAGTGTCAAAGAAGACAGAGAAGGAGAATTTGCTTGTTTTGGGAGACTATTTGGGGTTTGGACATAGATTTAAGAAGGCTTTGGTACATCATCCGGGGATATTTTATGTTTCGAATAAGATTAGGACACAGACTGTGGTGCTTAGAGAGTCATACAGGAAGGATTTTTTAGTGGTGAAGCATCCTTTGATGGGAATGAGATTTAGGTATATTCATCTTATGAAAAAAGCTAACAAAAGGCCCATTAAATCAATCAGTGGAGCTTTAGGTTCTTGGTCGAAAAGGCCGGTTGCCTCATCGATCAATGAAGGGTAGGAAAGAATAGTGAGAGATAAAAGTGAGAAAGAAGAGGAAGCGAAGTCAAATGGCTCTTTTGATAATGAATTTCAGGACTTGGAACATTCTGATTCTGAATTTGAGGATGCAGAAATGATGAGCCAATGAAATTGGAATCGTGAATTGATATGCTGATAACTGATAATTGGTATCATGTGAACCAGGAGGCAAGATGTTGATATCAGTACGTTGGAATTTTGCTTCAAATGGTCCAATTGGAAGTTGAAATCAGTTTGACAAAATTCTGTGAAAACAAGAAATTGAGAATTCTGTGAAAACAAGAAATTGAGCTACGGAATGAAATGAGATATATAACCAATGGATCAAATAAAAGAGGGAAAATTGTTGAATTATGGTTCTTTATGCCCACCTGTTACAGCTTTTCGGATGGTGAGTTCCCTTCTTCCTCTGCATTCTTTATTTGTTTTAATTGGAAACTGTCTACTGGGACCATGGCTTTGAGATAAGTTTGCTTCCTAGTTACCCGTGAATGCTTATGGATGTTTTTCAATGTGGTTGAACCAACTGCTGCTGTTTCATTTTTGATAAATTGACATTCTGCTGTTTCAATGTTTTTCAATGCTTATGGACAAGCAACTTGAGTTGTTTTCTTCCAGATGGTATAGATTTGAGAGCTTTTTGTTGTGCAAAGTCAAAATGTTAAACATGAGCTTTTTAATGAC